GGGAGAAAAGCAGGATGTAAATAAATTTGTAAATGCAAATGTGGGTTCATCAGCGGTTTCTCTAGTTAAAAAGAAGTTAAGAAGCAGGTGATAAAAAATACTTCTCCCTGCCTGAGACCCTGCACAGCAGCTGCCTACTGGGATAGACAGTATTGTGCTAAGTGACATAATACTTGAACTTGGCATAAAACCTTTGTTAATTTGGGGCTATGCAGTCACAGTTTAGGTAGAAAAGCACCTCCTCCTGTGCCACGTTTTCTGGGTTCCAAGGGTCTGGAAAGTGGTTTCATAGCCAATTACATGGTTGCCAACTCTGGGTTGGGAAATACCTGCAGATTTGAAGGGTAGAGCCTGGGGAGGGCAGGATTTTGGGTGGGGAGGGACCTCAGCAGGGTATAATGCCATAGAATCCACTGCCCAAAGCAGCCATTGTCTCCAGAAGAACTGATCTGGGTCATCTGGACATCAGTTTTAATAGCTGAAGCCCTGACTGCTACGTCACATTGGCTGTCATACAGGGGCCATCTCAGCAGGATATAAGGACACAGAGTCCACCATTTTCTCCAGGGGAACTGATCTCTGCCATCTGGAAAGCAGTTGTAATTCTGAGTGATCTTTAGCCCTCACCTGGAGATTTGCAACCATGGTTTCCCCCAACAGACACTAAGGGGAAATTTATTTTACCTCAGAACATCAACAGCAAACTGTTTAGAATGTTAGAGGGAAAGGCCAGTGAGGCTGCATATGCAAACGACCTCTGTGTTCCGAGGCAAAGGCGAATCAGGCCACATATGCAAATGACCTCTGTCTTCTGACTGGCTGTGGGGGGGAGAGGAAGAGCAAACTGTTCAGAATGTTGGAGGCAGGACTCCGGCAAAGCAGCCAGCGGATAGGGAGACCCTCTGAATGACAGATCAGAGAGCAAACTGATTTTGGAGTGTGTTGGAATGTTCAGGGGAGTCCATGACCAAAATAGAATTGGAATGTTCAGGGGAGTCTATGTCCAAAACAGAATTATATATACCGGAGGATTTTTCAGAGCACATCTGCAGTGAATGCTGTTGGCTCCGTTTGATATATGCTGGGTTTTTTTGGTGTATAGGGAAAAGTGGCAGTTCATAAGGCTAACATGAATGTTTCATATTTAAAATTACAGGTGGTTGACTGTACCTTAGCAGAAATTGGAAAGAATCTTAACGAGGCCATGAAGATGCTTGAAGACAATCAGAGGTATCTGACAACAATAGCCTTCAAGCACGCTCCATCAGTATTGCATGGACATTGTTAGAGATAGCTTTCTACTTGGTGTGGGACAGGCCATTATTTAAAGCAATATTTTGTTCTAACAAAATTAGTTTTTGTTTCCCCTCTTGAATTATACTTAATTACAACTAGCAGCGGGTTTTCTGTGACAAATGATGTACTTCATCTCTCTCAGCAGCTGCATCTGCCTGTGTCAATCCATGCAAACACTGACCCCACATAGACACAGGTGCCCCGAGGAGGTTTTTTCAACTTAACCTTGCAGCATCCCCTGTTGTGTCCCTTTACTTTCTCCTATGTACATAAGTAAATGCAATTCATTCTTTTATAGCGCTAGGCCACAGTATTAGGTGGTTGTGGAAGGGGGAAGCGAGCAGAATACAAGCAACTCATAATATTGTGTGTTCCAACTAGGACAGCAGAGGAAGATAATGAAAAGAAGTATACCAGAAAAGATATTCCTGGCCCACTTCAAGGCAGGTACGTAAGCATGTAGATTTTTATTCATCATTGGTATATTTCCCCCTACAAGGCACATAGCAAAGGTTCTTTAGAATCCTTGGCGAATCTTTTGTATTACATTTATAGTCGTACGCAGGGGTCTTGTTGTAGAAAAAGAGCTGCCGGAGCTCATTAGCATAACTCATTAGCATAACTTATTTGCATATGCCACGCCCCCTGACATCACCGGAAGTGACAGAAGGCCACACCCCCTGACATCACCGGAAGTGTGTCAGAAGGCCCGGCTACTTACCCTCCTGCTTCATCCTCATTCCCAAACGGAATGAGGATCGAAAATTGACGTGGACTGTGAGCCTTGTACGATCTGGAAGAAGAGAGGAAGCCATAGAGAGTTTCCTGTACCGGTTCTTTAGAATCCTTGGTGAATCTTTTGTATTACATTTATAGTCATACGAACAAATGAAGCTGCTTTATACTGATTCAGTCCCTCGGTGTGTCAATCTTGTTTAGTCAGACCGCCAGCAGCTTGCCAGGGTCTTTCACGTCACCTACCTCCTGATCCTTTTAGTTGGAGATACAGGAGATTGAACCTGGGGCCTTCTGCATGCAAAGCAGAGGCTCTACAAGTGAGCCACATCCCCATAATAATATGCGTTATCAGGGGTCATTTCCTGCGGGAGCACACAGGAGCGGAGCTCCGGCAGTAAGGAGCCCAGGGGGTGGGCACATGGAACAAGCCCCACCCCCTGCTCCCAGCAGCCCTCAGTCAGGCCATAAGGAGCAAGAAGCAACCAGGTAAGTTGCAGAGCCCCCCCCCCCACTTTCAGGTACAAGCTCTCCCTCCTCTGTGAGGACAGATCTGCGTGTGTCCCCCCCCCCAATAGCTAGCAATCCAAAATCGTCCCATGGAGCCTGAGCGGTGGGTGTTGCCTTCTGACACACTTCCGGTGACGTCAGGGGGTATGGTATATGCAAATGAGTTATGCTAATAAGTTATGCTAATGAGCTCCTGCACCTCTTTTTCTACGAAATGACCCCTGTGTGTTATAATTTCATACTTTAGGGCTTAGGATTGTTCGCTGGACAAGCTACTCCAAGCAGCTTACAGACAAGAAAAATGTAATGTCCTTGTTAACATTTTAAGAAGTGTATTATTGAATTTATATGTTTATATTGTTTGAAGTTGAGACTTTCCTTCATATGTCTTCTGTATAAGATAGAACTCTTGAATTTCATTGTAAACTTGTAGAAAAACACCTTATTTTATTTCTTCCTTACTTTCTGCAGCGGACAAGATATGGTGAGCATTCTCCAGTTAGTTCAGAATCTTATGCATGGGGATGAGGAAGAGGAATCACAGCAGTCTTACAGGTAATCATTTAGGTGCTCTGCCAAAATATTGTCTCAGGTTTTTACTTACATAGATAATTTGTGTGCCAGTTTTTGTGCAATTAAATACTAAGTTATACATTAAAACAGTCTTGATGTGTGACAGCAGAGAGGCAGGCCAGCAAGGGATTGGGCTGAACAGGTGGATTTCACTTGGTCCTTGATGGCAGCTGGTCTTCATTTACCTTTATAACACAATTGTGTGTGTGTGTATAACTGAGACTTGAAAACTCATTTAAAATGTATATACATTGTGTAATGCGAGAGAACATGCTTAAGAAACACATTCCTATGAGAGATGAATGCCATATTTGCTCAAAAAGAAGAAAGCCTTGAACACAAGATGATCCTCTTTTTAAAGGTTATATACAAAAAGGTTTTTTATTACTGTACAAAACCTAGCAGTTCGAAAGCAAGAGATTGCAAGTTGATAAATAGGTACCACTTCGGTGGGAAGGTAACAGCGTTCTGTGCGCCTTGGTGTTTAGTCATGCCGGCCACATGACCACGGAAACGTCTTTGGACAGCGCTGGCTCTTCGGCTTTGAAACGGAGATGAGCACCACAACCCTAGAGTCGGACTCGACTGGCTTTCGAGCAAGGGAACCTTTACCTTTACCTTTTTCAAAACTGTAACTTGCATGTGAATTGAAGATGACCTGCTCTATTGCTTGGCAGTTAAAGTTTATATACAAATTTGTAAAGTTTATATACAAAAAGGTTTTTAAAAGTTTATATACCAAAAGGTTTTTTTATTACTGTACAAAACTGTAGCTTGCATGTGAATGGAAGATGACCTGCTCTATTGCTTGGCAGTGCGTGTGGGCAAAAGCTAGTTTTCCTTTCAGGCAAGCAGGTTATTCAAATCTGGTTACTGAGCCAGACCTCTGGGTCACCCAAGTCCGACCTAAGCTTTTTTTGGCAGTGGCTCTGCAGGGTCCATCTGTCTGAGATCCTTTTAACCAGAGATGTCAGGGATTAGACCTGGGTCCTTCTGCATCTGAGGCATGTGCCCCTCAAATACTTAATTTAAACCGAGTGTGAAGGGACTTTTTAAATTGTTAAAGTCTTTTCCAGGAAGTCATTATTAAAGGCAATTTGGTGCAGTGTGAAATGATCCTGACTCCATAGCCCAGTTCCTACAAACCAGCTTCATCATCACAAGCGCTAACTGGGTGACAGTTTGTGAAAGGTTGTTTTTTTGGTGAAATTGTAATAGAATAGTTTTAACTGCCAACCTAAATTTCTCTTTGTGCCAGGGTTCATTGCTGCTTTTCAGTGAGTCGCTCCCACCTTGTAGCTTCTGTGTCTGCATTAAAATATATAAAATGTCTGATAACTTGTTTCCATTGGGGTCATGAGGGCAGAGAGTTTCTGCAGAATGCTGGAAAAGTAATAAGAGGTCATGTGTTCGCTTCCCAGGAACCAGTATCTAATCTGTGGTCAGTTTTATGGTTTTTTAATGCATTTCATCAAGAGAGATATTTTGCAAATGACAGATGGTTGCCACCTGAGAGGTACAGAATAAGCTAGGGTGACTTTTTAAAAACAATCATCTCTAGTTGATTTTGAAGTGCAAGATCTTGCATCACATCAATGCTCCCTCTAAGCTGTGGAATCTTGTGAGCAAGCAATTTGACTACTGCATAAATTAGTTTGCTCTGGAGCCGGAGGCTAAAAAAACTGTGAGCTAGCTCGCACTAACTCAGCTTAGAGGGAACACTACATCACACGCATGTCTTCCTAAAGCAAAAAGTGTTTGGAGTCAACAGGAAAGAAATGGCTTAATTTGCGTCAGGCTGTAATACCATATCAAGGTTGTTTTGAATGAAATCTGGATATTTTCAGAAACATATGATAAGCAAAAACGAGACACCAAGTTTGTATAACAGAGGTAATTGTAACGTCTTTCTGATTTTGTAGACTCCAGAATGTGGGTGAGCAGGGCCACATGGCCTTGCTAGGACACAGCCTGGCCGCATATATTTCTGTACTGGACAGAGAGAGACTCAGGAAACTGACAACCAGGATACTTTCAGATACCACCCTGTGGCTTTGCAGGCTCTTCAGGTTTGTGTGTTTTGTTTTGCGTTTGGAGTGGCTTTTGATTACCAGCAACATGGTTAAGGAAAAGAAAAATGACTTAAAATTTAACTGAAACCACAACATGATTTATTGTGATTGCTTGTAGGGTGCGGAACAGGTGGTACAGGAAGGGCCTTGTTTGCCATGTGCCTTTTTCCTTGGAAATAGGGCTCTTAATAATCATGTAGAATCATAGAGTTGGAAGGGACACTCCAGGGTCATCTAGTCCAACCCCCTGCACAATGCAGGAAATTCACAAATACCTCCCCCTCCACACTCGCAGTGACCACTGTTCCACACCCAGAAGATGACAAAAAACCTCCTGGATTGCTTCCTGACCCCAAAGTGGCATGTAAAAAAGTGGGTGTATAAAAAAGGGCCACAAGAACTAAGCACTGAGGCAACCCTTCCTGCCCTCCCTTTCATGAACTGCCTAAGTTCACAGAATCCACATTGCTGTCAGATGGCCATCTAGCCTCTGTTTGAAAACCTCCAAAGAAGGAGAGCCCACCACCTCCCGAGGAAGCCTGTTCCATTGA